ACCGGGGGGGGACCTGGTACCAAGAAGAGCGGGGGGGGGGGGGGGGAGGGACGGAGTGCGGTAGGGGAAGAGGCGGTAGTAGGGTACCGACTCGTCGAACGTGACGTCCTGGGAGGACAGAACACGTCGAGAGGTGGGGTGGTAGAACTGCCACCCGGGGGCGTCGGGGGGGAACCCCAGGAAGACGCAGGGAGCAGCGCGAGGGGACAGCTTGTCCGCAGACAAGTCGCGGACAAACGCCCGAGATCCCCAGACCCGGAACGCCGACGCATCGCCAACCTTCCCCGTCCACAGCAGCGCCGGGGAGGTCTCCGGCCTGGAGACCCTGGGGTGGAGGTTGATCTGATGCGCTGCGTACCTGATCGCAAACGGCCACAGAAAATGGGGGGCAGCCGCATGCATCATGGACGTACGAGCGACGTCCATGACCATGCCAATGCGGCGCTCTGCAATCCCATTCTGCTGCGGGGAGTTCGGAAGCGTGAAGGTCTGGCGAATGCCTCGCGCACGACAGTAGGCACGCAGAAGGCCAGAGGAGAACTCTCCGCCTCTGTCCGAGTGCAGACGCAACACAGGAAAGTCCGAGCCAAAGCTCTGCCTGAGCTGGAGACGAGCTGCGCGGATCCAGTCGATCAGCACCTCACTGACATCACCCTTGCTGCGCAAGGGAAAGACTGTGGTGTAACGCGAGTAGTCGTCAACCACCAGCAGGAAGTAGCGCCCGTGACCGAGTCCACGGACGCGGGCAGGGCCCCACACGTCCATGTGAAGCGTCTGCAACGGAGCCTCTGTCGGAGGAAACTGGGAGGAGTGAGGGGCAGCACGCTGGCGCCCCTCTACACAGGGGACACAGGCAGGGCCAGGGCCCTGAGGAAGGGGAGGTAGAGACCGGGGGAGACCAGACACAAGAAGATGGGAGGCCATGCCTCTGAGCCGAAGCAGAGAGGGGTGGCCAAGACGGTGGTGCCAGAGGAGGGTCTCGTGAGACAGACGGCGACACGAACAGGGGGCAGACTCAGGACCAGACCTGGACGCTGCAGCAAACACCTGACCAGACGTAGGGACTCTACCAGACTCAGCACCTGGAGGAGAAGCAGTGGTCAGTGTGTACAGGCTCGACCCTGGCTGACGTGTAAACGTAGCCAGGTGACGACCCGTGCTAGCCTCCGTGCAGTACGTCACGCGCTGACTAGCAGGGGTGAACTGGTGGACTCCCCCATCCTGTAGGTCAGCACCACTCACCAAGTTCGTAGAGAACGAGGGGAGGTAGAGACCAGACAGGGTGCCAGAGGGAGCCGCCGGACACGGGAGGACCGTGGAGAAGCGAGCCAGGACAGGACCCCCAGAGGGGTCAGCCAGGGAAACCGCAACCGGCCGACTAAGCGGCGTAAGTGTGGTGCGGTCCCGAAAGAAAGAGCGAGACGCTCCAGAGTCAAGAGTGAAGGTGTGGGAGGCCGAAGCCGACGCAGTACCTGAGAGCGCAGACGCACTAGTACCTGAGAGTACAGACGCACTGGCACCTAGAGCAGAAGCCTCACCGGCACCTGGAGCAGCAGTACCAATGCCCGGGTCGGGCGGGAAACACCGGTAACAGTCACCCTCCTCACTAGTGGTCACAGCATACATGGCAGCAAGGATAGCATCAAAATCAAGATCAAAGATAGCTACACCAGCCCTAGACAGCTCTCCCCAGCGGGGGATCTCCGCGGCCTCCGGGAACTGCTGACGCCAAGCGTCTGTCAGGCGGCCAAAGCAGCGCTGAGCGGGGTGGGCACCCCCACACTGCTCTCCAGTGCGGTCGCCAGTGCGGAGAACGTAGGTGCAGGGACCAAAACCCCCACCGCGCTGACGCTGCGTGTACCACTCACGGAGCTGCTGGGGGGTGAGGACGTCGCGAGAACGTTGCTGCTGCTGCTGCTGCTGCTGCTGTTGGCGCTGACCGCCACCAGTGCCGCTCCGCTGCGAAGCCCCACTCCGACCACCGCCACCTCCGCCACCCCCGCCTCCGCCTCCACCGCCCCCGCCCCCACCTCCACCGCCGCCACCTCCGCCACCTCCGCTACCACCGCCACCGCCGCCGCCACTCCCGCCGCCACCGCTGCCACTAGCACCCCCACCCCCACTACCACCTCCACCGCCACCCCCACCCCCTCCGCCGCCTCCACCCCCACCGCCACCGCCCCCACTGGCCCCACCCGCTCCCTTGCCCCCCTTGCCCTTGCCAGAGCGGCGTCTCCCGCTAGGGGAGACGCCGCACCGACCGACTCAAGACCAACGAGGTCGGCCGCAGCGGCAGAGGCAACAGAGGGCAGGAGAGGGGAAGGAGAACACCCCTCAAAGATGGGGGCGCGGGGGTCACCTCGAGAGGCTCCTACAGCAACTATGCTCTTCTCTGCTGCAAGAAGGGCCTTCTCGAGGCTGTCGACGGTGAGGGTGGTGGGACAGACCGCAAGGAAGTGGTCCCGGACTACACGAAGGGAGTCAGGGAGGCGAGTGACTAGGAAGTAGAGAGTGATGTACATGGGGGGGGGGTTCTTGGCGCAGAAGTCAGCAGGAAGTGCAGCGCGGTAGCGAGTGTCACTAGTGCGGAGGTGCGTGATGAGATCAGCGACAGTGGGAAAGGCGGCAAGGTCAGGGAAGAGGAAGGGGAGCATGAGGCGGCTCAGTGCAGCAGTGGCAGGGGAGGAGTAGCGTGCAACTACAGCGTCGTACAAGGTCTGAGCACTCTTGTACTGGCTAAAGTGCGCGCGCTCAGCGGTAGGCAGGTGGCGACGCACTGCAAGACGTGCAGCAGCATCGCGCGTGGCCCACTGAGAGCGAACAGTGGCGACAGCATCAGCAGCAGGGGCAGGGACAGCGCCAGAGGTGAGGTCAAAGAGAGACAGATTGTCGGCCCTGTCGCACTGTAAAAACAGCTGCAGGTCGTTGAGCCAGACCTCAAAGTCAATGGCCCGACCCTCAGCGTCAAAAGTGAGGTTAGTGGGTGTAGCCATGACGACAGTGGCGCAGTGCAAGCAGTAGGGGAAGGGTACGCAGTGACAGCAGTGCAGTGCTCACCGGGCAGGGCAGGTCGGGCGGCTCAGGAGGAAGGTCGCCAGACGACACGGCCGCTAGGCTGCTGGGCGGCTCGGCTCCCGGGCGGTTTGGCTGCTGCTGGGCGGCTCGGATGCTGTTGGGCGGCACGGCTGCTCCTGGGCGGCTCGGCTGCTCCTGGGCGGCTCGGCTGCTGCTGGGCGGCTTGGCTGCTGCTGGGCGGCTCGGCTGCTGCTGGGCGGCTTGGCTGCTGCTGGGCGGCTCGGCTGCTGCTGGGCGGCTCGGGGGCTCGTCTGCTGCTGGGCGGCTCGGCTGCCGCTGGGCCGCGTAGGTAGGGCGGCCGGGCCGCGAAGGTAGGGCGGCGGGTGGGCCGCAGGTAGGGCGGCAGGTGGGCCGCAGGTAAGGCGGTGGGTGGGCCGCAGGTAGGGCGGCGGGACGGCCGCAGGTAGGGCGGCGGACGACCGCAGGTAGGGCGGCGGGTAGGCCGCAGGTAGGGCGGCGGGTAGGTCGCACGTAGGGCGACGGGACGGCCGCAGGTAGGGCGGCGGACGGCCGCAGGTAGGGCGGCGGGTAGGCCGCAGGTAGGGCGGCGGGTAGGCCGCAGGTAGGGCGGCGAGTGGGCCGCAGGTAGGGCGGCGGGACGGCCGCAGGCAGGGCGGCGGACGGCCGCAGGCAGGGCGGCGGGACGGCCGCAGGTAGGGAAGCGGCGGGGCCGCGTCGAGGAGGCGGCGGGGCCGCGAGGGGAAGGGCGACACAGAGGGTCGCGAGAAAAAAGAACGCGCGCCTCGGGGCGCGCTTCGGTGGGCCCTAGAGAACAGTCCCTAGGATGGGACCTGCTCTGATTCCATGTGAAAATAGAAACGTGAAAAAGTTGACTACGAATGAGGTGAGTACAAATAGGAAACCCTAATTGGGTTGTACCCCCTATGGGATACCCCACTATAGCCTACACAAACAAGTAAGCTACAATGTTCTGACACATCTCAAAGTCGTTGGTCATGATGGTGTCTCTGTTAGAGTTAGCCCTCAATCTCAACTGTATTTACATGCAGTTTGTGCTGGTTGAGTATAGGGATGAGCAAACAACACAAACATGTTTGTATTTGCCTTGCCTCAAACACTCGTGTTCGACGAATCGAACATGTTCGTGTTCGGCCAAACACAAACCGGTGAAGGGGGTGTTTGGTGTTCGCCCTGAGCACGAACGTGTTTGGGGCGAACATGTTCGTGTTCGCCTGTATGCAGCCTTCATTATAGTCACAGGGTGTAGGGATGGTGGATTTTGGCGTCAAGGATGGTGTGGCTATACCTGGTGGGCGTTTGAGAGTTGAGGAAATGAAAAACCGAAGAGTAGATTTTGATTCCTCCTAACTATTTCATTAGAGTTTAGGTACCATAGTTATTGGAGCTTGCAGTCTAGGCTGTAGGAGGGGGGGTTAGGCAAAAGTCGAGCTTAGGAATGAGCTCGACCAGTGTGTTCTGTTCACCTAAACAAAGGATCGAGGGACTTTTTTTGACGAACACATTGTGTTTGTGTTCGACGCGACTTGGCTAGCCGCGGCGAACCGAACACGAACATTTTCGCCCCGAAAACTTTAGGCAAAAAAAAGAGAAAGTGTTTGGTTCACCACGAACATGTTCGAGGCGAACCGAACAGGTGTTCGACCTTGTGCTCATGTCTAGTTTGGTGTGCACCCACATCCCAACCAAACCCAAATCTGATAAACAAGCAATCTCCAACCAACCAATTGGAGATTGCTTTGGGATTACCCCCAATCCCGGAATTGCCCCCACATCCCTCCCCATCCATACCTTGCTCATTTCGAATGTACTTAAAAAGCTCTGAGCTCACTACTAATGTAGCAGTTCAAGCTCAAGTTCTCACAGTCTCACCTCCACTTCAAAGTTGTTAGTCACGATGGTGTCTCACCTCCGTTTCAATGTCGTTGGTCATGATGGTGGAGTGCTTAGACAACGCCAAAGCCACCCTTGCCCAGCAAATTGTCTTCCGACCAGTTGTTGGTGGCCCTAAGCATCTGCTGCGGCGAGAACTGCTCACACACATCCAACCCCTCCCACTTCTCTGTGCACATAGCAGGGCAAGGGGGGATAGGGACCAAGAGGAACGAGTGACCAAGTGTGTAGATGAGTAGAGAGAGCACAAGGGTAGTGGAAAGGCAGAGTTTTAATACAAGGAAAACGACAGGGAAATTGAGCAAAGAAGGAGGCCAGAAAACAAGTACAGCATTAGGGGAGACGGAAAGGAGGTGAAGGAAGGTGGAGGGGCTCACTTGGTCTGCGGGGCCACATCAACCATGCGAGCATAGCAGCTAGCAGGGTGACGCCAGAAAAGCAGCCCAGAACGATGCCCATTATGGCACCCGTGGACAGAGAGATCACTGCCAAAGCATGGGGGGTCAAGGGAAACGGGGCGATGGTAAGCGGGAGCCGTGGAGGCACGGGAGTGATAAGATATGGGTAACAAAACGTTCATGACACAGGTATGGGGGGAAGGTGGGGAGACGAAGGGAGGAACGGGGGGGGACGAGGGGGGAAAGGTGGGGGGACGAGGGGGGGAAGAGGGGGAGACGAGATGGGGAAGGGGGGGACGATGGGGAGAAAGCAGGGTGACGAGCGGGGGAAGGGGGGGGACGAGGGGAGAAGGCGGGGGGGAAGGGGGGGGGGGAAGGGTTGGGGAAGGGGGGGGGAAGGGCGGAAGAGGGGGAAGGTGGGGGGGGAAGGGAGGGAAGATAGCGAGAAGTGGGGGGGGGGAAGGGGGGGGATTGGGGGGAATGAGGGGGGAAAGGGGGGGGAAGAGGGGGGGAATGGGGGGACGGGGGGCGGAAGGGGGGGATGAGAGGAGGAAGTTGGGGGAAGAGGGGGAGAAAGCGGGGGAAGAAGGGAGAGAGTGAGACAAAGAGAGGGAAATGGAGTGGGGGAGAGAAGCAAAAGAAGGCAGCAAAGAGGGTTGGTTGGGTAGACGCGAGCACGACAACAGCTGAAGCCACTGATTCAACACACCAGGAGGGGAAGGGGGCGACAATTGGCAAGTGGTAGTGTTGGCAGTGCCAGTAGTAGTGATAGAAACGTAACCACTGGAACAGGAGCAGGAGAGGGATGGCGGCCAACCGCTCTGCACCACACACTGCCCCGCACCCGCACCCCCACAGGGGCCCTGCCCTGACTCTGTCCCACACACCGCCGCACACTCTGTCGGCCCCCACTGCTGCCCCACCCCCTCACTCCCCATACAATTCCTTTCCATAGCCAGCCATGCCACTGCACTACTATTCCCCCCGCCCTCCCCTCCTGCTGCAGTTCCCTCCTGCTGCTCCCCCTGTGTCACCCACACACATGCCCACTGAGAGTTCGATATATCCTGGAGTTTTCAGGGGGGGGGAGGGACTGGGGTTGGGGGGTCGCTGGGAGGAGTGAAGGGAGGGGGGGCGAGGAGGAGGAGGAGGAGGAGAGGTTGATGTTGGGGGAGGGGGTGAAGGAGCCGTAGAGGTAGTTGCCACTGAGGTCCAGGCTGATGGGCGGTATGTTTTGGAAGGTTGCGGCGTCCATGAAGAGGAGATTGTTGCTGACGTCACTGGGAGACAGATGCAGAGTAAGGGGGCGCAGGGGTCAAGGGAAAGAGGAGAGGTCAGGAGCAGAGATGGCCTGAAAGGTAAGGAAGTGGAATTTGCAGCACGATTTGAGGTCGAAGGTTACAAACGAGAGTGCGACAAGAGGAGCAGCGGAGAGAAAGAGGAATGAGACTAACATTAGGGTGATGAGCGAAAGGGGCAAAACAGAAGGGCGAAAGGTGGAGGTTGAAGGGCGACGGGTGAAGGGTGAAAGGCCAAACGGACATGAGTTGGATGGAGGAGACGAAGGGCAGGCACTGAGTGGCGTTGCACACTTAGGAGCCTGCAGGTGGACGGGGGGGCAGGTGGAATGGGGGGGCAGGTGGACGGGTGGGAAGGTGGAACGGGGGAAAGGTGGGCACATGGGAAGGTGGGCACATGGGACAGGTGGGCACATGTGAAGGTGGGCACATGGGACAGGTGGGCACATGGGACAGGTGGGCACATGGGACAGGTGGGCACATGGGACAGGTGAGCACATGTGAAGGTGGGCACATGGGACAGGTGGGCACATGGGACAGGTGGGCACATGTGAAGGTGGGCACATGGGACAGGTGGGCACATGGGATAGGTGGGCACATGGGAAGGTGGGCACATAGGACAGGTGGGCAGGTAGGAAGGTGGGCAGGTGGGAAGGTGGGCAGGTGGGCAGGTGGGCAGGTGGGCAGGTGGGAAGGTGGGCAGGTGGGAAGGTGGGCAGGTGGGAAGGTGGGAAGGTGGGCAGGTGGGAAGGTGGGCAGGTGGGAAGGTGGGCAGGTGGGAAGGTGGGCAGGTGGAGACATGGGGAAAAAGAGGCAATGGGAGAACGCGAGAAGGGGAGAGGGTGAGGGGAGCGAGGAGGTGAGGAAGCAAGCAAGATAAAGTGCAAAAGGGTGTGGGTGTGGGTAGATGACAAGGCAGTAGGGAGGAAGCAACTAGCACAGGGTGAAAGTGCAATGCATTGGCGCCTGTGCAATGCATTGTCACCAGTGCAAGACTTTGCTTGCACGATAAAGGGCATCTCTTCATGGATGGACACATTCAAACCTGCCTGGATGGCAATGCATGGATGGCAATGCATGGATGGCAATGCATGGATGGGAATGCATGGATGGCAATGCATGGATGGCAATGCATGGATGACAATGCCTGGATGACAAGCCTTTATTGTCACCAGGGCATCTCGACATAGATGCCCACATTCATACCGGCCTGCTTGCTCCTGGGCCCGAGGGTAACATAACCTGAATGCTGCACTGTGTGAATGCTAAGTCATCTGCACATAACACTTTCCAAACATGGCATGGTGAGAGTGTTGCTTAATGTGGATGGTGCACTGAGTGAATGTTGGCATGTGGACGTTACAGCATGTGGACGTTATAGCATGTGGACGTTACAGCATGTGAGCGTTATAGCATGTGAGCGTTACAGCATGTGAGCGTTACAGCTTGTGAGCGTTACAGCATGTGAGCGTTACAGCATGTGAGCGTTACGGCATGTGAGCGTTACAGCATATGAGCGTTACAGCATGTGGACGTTACAGCATGTGAACGTTACAGCATGTGAGCGTTACAGCATGTGGACGTTACAGCATGTGAGCGTTACAGCATGTGGATGTTACAGCATGTGAGCATTACATGTTATGCAGCACGGATTGGCAGAGGTACTCGGGGATGGGGCCGGAGAGTTGGTTATGGTGCAGCGCCCTGCAGGCATGGGCGGACGAGAAGCAGGGGGGGAGGGGACGGGAAGCAGGGATGGGCGGTTGGGAAGCAGGAGGGGCATGGGGCTGGGCTGGCAGGAAAGCAAGAGGGCGCATGGGGCTGGGCTGGCAGGAAAGAAAGAGGGCGCATGGGGGATGGACGAGAGGCAGGGGGGAGGAATCGGGGGCGGGTGGGAGAGAAGTAAGGGGAGGCAGGGGGGAGAAATGGGGAGCGGGTGGGAGAGAAGCAGGGGAAGGCATGCGCGATGGCGGGGCAGGGGACGCAAGCCAGCAAGAAGAGCATGACTCAAAGACGGCACGAGCAGCGAAGCTTGGCTAACGAGAGTAAGAGCAACAGCATGTGGTGCCACTCACAACATGACCCCTCTCACAGCATGACCCCACACTCATAGCATGGCCCCACACTAACAGCATGGCCCCACACTCATAGCATGGCCACACACTAACAGCATGGCCCCACACTCATAGCATGGCCCCACACTAACAGCATGGCCCCACACTCACAGCATGACCCCCCTCACAGCATGGCCCCACACTCACAGCATGGCCCCACACTCACAGCATGACCCCCCTCACAGCATGGCCCCACCCTCACAGCATAACCCCCCTCACAGCATGGCCCCACATTTACAGCATGGCCCCACACTCACAGCATGGCCCCACACTCACAGCATGGCCCCACACTCACAGCATGGCCCCACAATCAAAGCATGGCCCCACACTCACAGCATGGCCCCACAATCAAAGCATGGCCCCACACTCACAGCATGGCCCCACAATCAAAGCATGGCCCCACACTCACAGCATGAGGGCTCTCCAGCGACCCTGAGAGCGAGTTGAATGAGAGGTCGCTACGGCAATGGGAGCGTGTTGCATACATGTTGAGTGTGTCGGGCGGTAATATGGGAGAGAGGCATGGATGGGCGTTGAAGGGGGAGAGAGGCATGGATGGGAGTTGAAGGGGGGGAGAGGCATGGGTGGGGTATAAGGGAGAGAGTGATACATGGGTGGGCGGAAATGGGAGAACACGCACAAGGAAAGAGAGGGTGCAGGAGGGAAAGGGGAGGGGGAGAAGAGAAGGAAGGGGATAGGAGTTTTTACTTGCAAGATTCAAATGCAATGGTTCGCAGGGATCTCGTGGTTACCAGGGCATACGCACATGATGAGAGCTGGACTGGCAGCAGCGTTGGGCAAAGGGCCTGAGAGGTGGTTGCGAGACACGTTGCTGCGATGGTGAGTTGTGTGGCATGGCAGGGTACAGGGGGAGAGAGGGCAGAGGGGCGATGGTGAGACGACATGAGAAACGATGGTGAGGATGAAGGAATCCAAGTTGAATGGCTGGTTGCTAGATAGACACTGCTGTTCTGATGTTGGAAATTAGTGATGGGTGATGGTGTAGATAGAGAAGTTGACTGACAGGTGGAGGCAGTGAGCCGGAGAGAAGGTTGATTGCCATGTCCCTGCCATGGCATACGCGAAAGCAGGGGGGTGGAGGTCCATGTGTCTCTACCGTGGGCTGGGTGGCTCATGCGGACATCAGATGTCATGACATGGCAAGCTGACATCTCAAGACACGACATGCTCCACGAGAAATAATATAGTGGTTCACAAACAGGCATGCGGAGTCCATATAGGACCGATACATGCATATAGGCATGTTGTGGCCATATAGGTGGGTCATGCCATACATGTTGAAAATCTAGAATTGATACATTGAATAATGAGCCAAGAGGCTCTTTAGTACAAGCAATGAGCAAGAGAGAGATGTGAGGGAAGCTTACCCCATTGGCCAATAAGTTGGCCAATGGGTGAGCTTGCTTGTGGCCCAAGCAACCACAAGTGTGTGCTGGTTGGGATTGGTTGAGCTAAGGACCAATCCCCACCAACCACATAATGTGGTTGGAAGGTACACAACACTAATCAGCCCCCAAATTTATAAGAGAGCTACAATATCTAATTCTAGCCTATGCATGCTGTATTGAATATGAATTAACAACAATACAGGTGGGTCATGCCATACATGTGGGTCATGTTGGGCATGTGACCAAAGAAAAGCGGAGCAGAGCCATTAAATGCGTTGGCTGAGATGTCACTGTGGAGCATGAAGGGATGGGGGAATATGACAGGGCATGGGGGGTAAAGGACAGAGATTGGCGAAGATGAAGTTGTCAGAATCAAGAAGTGGTGAACTAGAAACAGTTGGGAGTACAAGTACGAAACCCTAGAGAAATGTACCCCCTAGAGGCCAATCCACTGTAGCCTACACAGCAGAAACATATATAATGTTTGACACACCCCCATAGGCTAAGTGGGGGAGAGCAAGGGGTCACAGGACCAGTCAAGAAAGACAAAGCAAGCTCAGGGTGGATCACAACGTCACCACACACTCTGAGCACAAGCAAAGGGCCACAAGGCCAATTCACATGTGTAGGCATATATGTAGCACAAGCATCACAATGATCTATATCTAGCAAGCATGCAGATATATATATATAAATATATAGATCACAGTACAGGCAAAGTCTACAAGTGAGGAAAAGTGGGCACAAGCCCTAGCAAAGTGCTGAAACGCTGATGATCACCAGACTAAAGTGCCTTGGTGAATATATCAGCAGTGTTGGCCTGAGTGGCCACGTAACGTAGACGAAGCTGACCACGCTGCTCCAACTCTCAAGCCAGAAAGTAACGTAGAGCGATGTGCTTCGTTCTGTGCTCCAGACTGTGCTCCTCACACAAGGCAATGGCAGCCTTTTTGTCGACGTACAGCATTGGAGGAGAACGAGGCCGCTCTCCCAGGTCGGTCAGCAGGTAGGTGAGCCAGCGTAACTCCTGTGCAGCCATGGCTGTGGCGTAGATCTCAGCCTCACAACTGGAGCTGAGAACTGAAGACGAACGAGTAGAACGCCACGAAACTGAGCCAGAGCCAAGGCAGAAGGTGTCACCCTGTGACGACCGCTGAGTAGCCTGGTCGTCAACCCAAGAAGTGTCTGAGTGCCTCGTGAGAACAACTGAGCTCCTTCCTCCAAGCACGAGCCCCATGCCCGATGTACTGCACAAGTAGCGCAATACCCTCTTTGCAGCATCCCAGTGTACCTTTCGGTGCCTACAAGGAGCCACGTAGCGGGCCAGAAGGCCAAGAGGGTACGCTAGGTCAGGACGAGTGCAAGTCATTAGGTACATGAGGCAGCCAACTAGCTCTGGGTAAGGACCACTTGGCTCTACGGACTCATCCGAAGGCAGAGCTGAGAGCGAGTGACCTGTAGCCAGAGGAGTGGCATGTGCTGAGGACCAGGTGAAGCCGAAGCGCTGAAGGACCTGCTGCACCATGTGTGACTGAGTCAGTGTGATGGTGCGACGTGCTCTGTCCCGGGTGATGTGCAAGCGAAGGTAGCTGCGTAGTTCACCGAGGTCTGTGCACGTGTGTCTCTTCTGCAGCTCCGACTTCACGTGGGCGAGAGCCTCAGTGTCAGCAGTGGCAAAGACCAAGTCGTCGACGTACACGAGGATGTAGAACGACAGCAGCAAAGTGTCGGTGCGCAGAAACAGCGACGGGTCAGCAGTAGAAGGTGCGAACCCAAGTGCCGCAAGAGTAGTCCTCAGTGTGTCATGCCACTCACGTGGCGCCTGGTAGAGACCGTTGACCGGCCGCCGGGGGCTCCACTGGGTACCAGGAGGAAACGACCCAGTGAAGCCAGGAGGGCGGCGCAGCCAGATCTCCTCGTGCAGGCTGCCCTGCAAGAAAGTTGTGCTGAAGTCAAGAGAGTGAAGCTCGTAGTCCCGCTGAGCAGCAACGTGCAGTAGCACCCGAAGAGTGGTCATCTTCGTAGTGGGGGAGAAGGTCTGAAAGAAGTCTACTCCCTCTCGCTGACTGAAGCCTCGAGCAACGTAACGAGCCTTGAAGACAGGCGGAGAACCCGGCGGCCGCTTCACCTTGAAAATCCACATGCCACTAACGATGTTCGCCCCAGGAGGGGGAACCTCGTTGACGTAAGTGCAAGTGGACTTCCAAGATGCCATCTCTGCGTCCATGGCTGACTGCCACTGAGAGGAGTACTCACCCGCGATCGCCTCAGCGTAAGAGCGCGGGGTCGGGATGTCTGGAGCATCCGGGTCTCCCTCAGGGGCAATCAGCATGGACACAAGATGAGGCGAAGCGGCTGCAAGACACTCAATGTCCTCCTGTCTGTCCTCAAGGACGTCCGTGCCTAGAGCACACTCACCCCCGACGGACAGAGAACAGACAGACTCAGACTCAGCAACAAGACTGGCGGCGATAGCGAGCAGCTAAGTCAACAAGCTCAGCAACTAGGGCAGACACAGCAGCAGACTCAAAGGAAGGGTCAGTGACAGCAGTGGCCAAGAGACGCATGACAGTAGAACTGGCAGCACGAAGGGAGTCAGATTCAGGGTCAGCAAGGACAGGAAGAGAGGACGCAGGAGGAGACGGCAGAGGGACACGGTGTGGAGCAGTGAAAGGACGCAGAGTCATATAGTGTGTGCCAGGGACAGGTGGAGGACGCTCACGCGGAACATGGCGACCAGTGCGAGCAGCACGAACAGGTGACACAAAACGAGACATAGGTGACACAGGACGAGACTCAGGCTCACGACGCTCTGTAAGACCGCCTGTCAGACCAGTGGAGGGAGAAGGACAAGGAAGTGGCGAGGCAGGCGGTAGCTGTGACTGCGGCTGGACAGGCGGAGGACACTCTAAGGAGGGAGGAGGACTAGGAGGAGGCGGCGGACCAAGAACCTGCTGAAGGAGCGGAACAAATCACGCCAGCGGCCGTGAAGTGCCCCCAGAAGCAGCAGAGACAGCACCAGAACCTTCAGCAGCACCAGCAGCAGCTCCAGCTGCTCCAGAACCGCTAGCAGCACCAGCAGCACCTCTAGCAGCTCCAGGACCTCCAGCAGCACCAGCTGCAGCTCCAGCACCTCCAGCAGCACCTCCAGCAGGCGGTACCTCAACACCAGGAGCTCCACTCCGAAGGCTGCAGCGCCGAGCGTACCACTCACGCAGCCGCTGAGGGGAGGGAGGCTCCGGCTGCGACACTGCACCCGCAGGGCCACCAGCCCCAACTCCAGCAGACCCCCCGGCTCCAGTAGCCCCACGACCGAGGCTGTAACGCTGGGAGTACCACTCACGCAGCTGCTGTGAAGAGGGAGCATCAACAGGCGCAGTACGGTTAGTCACAGAACCCCCAGCCTCAGCTCCTCTAGGCTCAGCACCCCCAATCGCA